AGAAACATCGGTGATGAGAGAGTCATTGTTCAGCTGCCTAGCCCACAACCCGGGCATGTGCCCTGACCGGGAATCAAACCCCAATCTCCTGTATCCTAGGTCGATGCTCAACCGCTAAGCCACGCCTGGCTGGGCTCTAGCAGGAAGCTTTTATTTATTTATTTTTATTTCATTTATTTTATTTTTTAAAATATCTTTATTGATTTCAGAGAGAGGAAAGGAGAGAGAGAGAGAGAGAGAGAGAGAGAAACATCAATGATGAGAGTCATTGATCGAGCGCGTAACCCCGGGGCATGTGCCCTGACCGGGAATCGAACCCTGATCGCCTGGGTCCTAGGTCGATGCTTAACCTCTGAGCCACGCCCAGCAGGGCCCTAGCAGGAAGCTTTAAAGGTCATGTCTCTATACATCTTTCAATTCTACTTGCAGTTTTGACCCTGGGTCTTGTGAGCAACCTTCCTCTCCATACAGTCACTTCTAGCCCTTCTGATAAACCAGGGTGAACAAGCATTACCAATGATACGCTACATTGGGCCTCTCCCATGCCCCAGATTTTTTAGCTAAATTCAGGTTTTGATAAAAGACAAGTGAGTGGAGCGAGCGGGAGGAAGCAGTCACGCAAGGGGAAACCACCATCTCCAGTGTTGCATTTGCTGGAGCGTGCAGTTCTCTAAACATGCCGCGCTCTCGCCTTCTTGGGATACTTGCACCTACTGTGTCCTCTGCCTGGTTTTAGCGAGCCAGTCCTATTCGTTCGTCAAAACTCTCTTGAAGGCTCATTCCTGCGAAAAGCGTCTCTCTCGATGCTAATTCTCAGCCTTCACCCTCCACCTGTTACCCCAAATTCACCCTCGTCTTGAGTCCTCACCCCTCATCATGCTTTAATTGCACCCTGCATTGTAATGGTTTGTTGTCTGCCTTTGTCTGCTTTGCGCTCCGTAAGGACAGCAACCGAGCTACTTCACTTCTCAGTCTCCAGCACCTGACCCAGTGCTTGGCACAGATAAAATATTCATTCTTAAAAAGTAACTTGTCAGATAGGTCTCTCATAGCAGTTACCCTTTAGCATCTTACTTGCAGTTTTGACCCTGGGTCACTGGCTATGCTATGAATAAACTTCCTCTCCATACAGTCACTTCTAGCCCTCCTGATAAGTCTTGGGTGAACACACTACCAACAACCTATAAAATAGACCCATGCTACACTTTAGTGGCCTCTTTTTCCAGGTGTAAAAGCTGGTTACACTGATGTAAATAGATTTAGAAAGATGATATTTAAAGAGGGTCTTGCATGATGAAACTGTAAATATAATGTGTAAGTACAAGTGCATGGTCTTTAGAATTAGTCAGGCAATTGGGTTCAAAGCCTGAGTTTCATTTATTGGCTACGTTACCTTTGACCTGGGGTTGGCAAACTACAGCCCACAGGCCAAAGCCAAGTTAACTGTTTTTTACAGTTCTTCAGCTAAAATGGTTTGTATGTTTTTTGAAATGGTTGAAAAAATATCAAAACAAAAATATTTTGTGACGTAAAAATATGTAGAAAATTCAATTTCAGTATCCATAAATCAAATTTTATTAGAACACAGGCATACCTATTGCATACATATTGTCTGTGGCTGCTTCTGTCCCACAGTGCAGAGCTGGGTACTTGTGATTGAGACAATATACACCACAAAACCTAAAATATTTACTATCTGATCCCGGAGTGGGTTTGCTGGTTCCTGCTTTAGACAATTTGTTTGACCTCACTAATCCTCAGGATTTTTTCCTGTATAACAGAAATAGTAAATTGCACTTCCTTCAGAAGACTGTCAATAGGATTAAATGAAATAATGCATGTGAGCACTCAGTAAATGTAAGCCATTATTTTAAGTCATTTACCACAATATGATCCACTAATTTATTATTATTGTTGTAATTATTATTATATTGAAACTCGCTTCAATAAATAATGTTTAATTATAACCATTTTCAATATTTTACAGCAACAAATATTTTGTTATTTATCAAAAAGAAACACCTGTTTTATAAATACAAAAACTGAATTATTAAAAAAATCAATAAATTCATATCAATTCTAATGTTTACTTTCTCATACATTATGCTTTTTATAAGCTATTCAGTGTACATGGATTCGTACTCCTTGTCCAAGTACTTTCTGCTATTATTAAAATAAATGAATTTTTGTGTACTTTAAATATTACATGTTATTTTTAAGGCAATGTGACATGGCATAGTAAAGAGCTGACTTTGCCAAAGGAAAATTAGGTTGAATCATGCTACTCAGTTATTGGAAGTAGAAAATGGGAATGCTAAATAATTACAAGTGAACATAGAGCAAAAAAAGGTAGAATCTGGAAGGCACAATAAAATCTATGTAAAAAAAGGGGTGGAGGGTGGACAGGGATTTTAACCTCTCATTTTTTTTCTCCAGAAGTAAAGTTATCAGAATTTTTCTTAGGGATTCATTAATAACTTTGAGGTAGAAAAATGTGAATTTATCTAATCTGTATCCTGATATTAGGCAAGACTTTATTTTATTGTATTTTTAAAGTTCTCTAGAAAATACATACTGTCCCTTTCATTTAACTGTTCCAAGTCCTTCTATATTGTGCCGTCTATTTTACTTTTCTTTGCATTTCCAAAATGTATGGTTATATAGCATCTAGCACAACATAAATGATAAATAAATAGTCCCTGAACTGAGCTGAATTGAACTGAATTGAAACTGAGAATCCTCATGGGAGGTTAAAAAAAAAAAAGCTATCAACACGGGTGCCCAGACTCTTGATCCAACTTTGGTGACCTACATGGTACTTGTTCAGCAAAAACAGAACAACTAAGATAAGACATAGCTTTTGCTTCTGTCCTGGTTTGTCTTTATTTTCTACTGTCATGTTTCTCGTTACTCTACCTTTTCTATTCTCTACAAAATACCAAATATCACTTTAAAAGTATTGTCTATTCCTTTCTGTAAGGTGACATGGAAACCCACCACTTCATCTTCTATGTTTACAGCAACCAACAGAGATACCATGTTTTATAATAATTGGGTGGAAACAGTCATGAAATAATGCTCACTCTTAGTTAAGGTCTCTTGCTGGATACTCCTAAGTATCTTTCCAGGAAAGGCAGATGCAAACATGTCTTCCTAACTACCCTCTTAGTTTACGCATTCTTGTTTATAGGTCAATTAATACAGTTTTTAAAAATCTACTAGTAATGCTTTTACTTTTACTGTAATAATAATCATACCTTATAAAAGGTCGTGTCACTGCAAGGAGTGTTCTGATGAACCAAGATGGATGAACAATGATGAATGATTTCAAATTCTTTCGCAATCTAGTTCGGGAAAAGAAAAAGAATTACTCATAAACCATTTTTAGTGGGAATTAAAACAGAAGCATGTTCCCAAATAAGAACATATAGAGAGTTCTAGGCAAGTTACTGTTATCAGTAGGGAAAATATAGAACAGTCATAAATAATGAAAAAAATGCTTTTTGATATATAATTTGAAACTTTTATGATTCAAGCCTCATTTTCTCAGAAGAAATATAAAATAGAACAGCTGTATTCATGAGTCCATAAATCTATAACCATGATGACATAGTTTTGTTTAAAAATACTTTTCATTCTTGTCAGCATTATCTTTGCTATTTTGAAAAGAATACACTTAAGAGAAACTTATACAATTTATTTGATCTCTGAGCCTTGGTGTCTTCTTACATATAGTGAAAATAGAAACCGTACATCATGTGGTTGTTTGGCCTTCAGGTTCCCATTTCAATGTTCTTGATTTTCAGGCATATTTTTTTAGCATTAGTAATGCTACTTTATGAAAGTTTGGATCATTAAACGAATTTTAGTTACTATAACAGGGTATTTGTGGGTTGTCATGTAAGGAGCTACCTGTAAGTGGATGCCCCACCTATTGTAGATGTGAATTTGTATGTTTATTATGACAGTGTCCCTGTACATGGCAATAATGTGTTTTGTTCTAGTAAAACCAGTATGAATGAAAGTAAGGTATCTTGAAGAAGGGGCATCCAAAGGCACCATATGGGCTAGTGGTTAACATGAATTGATAGTGAATGCTAAAATAAGAGCACAACATTTTCCAAAATCACAGTAATCCCAGTGTACCTAAATAGCATCAAGACCACATGACACCAGAAAAGAATCAGGGATGCTGCTTTACTAGCTCAAATTGTACCTCCATGTGGCAATAACATCTGCATAGTTTAAAACAGATTGGCCAGCATGTCCAAGATTACAACATTTAACAAAATCTGGGGAGAATTTGCTTTACTCAGGTTTGGGGCACCAAGTGACACTTTGATTAACATTTTATTATTTATTATCTCAACTCTGCATAATTCAATGTTCCTAAAATGTAATTGCATTTTTGGTAGATTAAGAGGGGGTTAGAAATGTAAATTATTGAGAAAGTAAAAATAGGGATTCAATAATAGAGCCCACCTACCGTCTGTCAATCATCTGGTAGCATTTTTTCATCCAGCCCAGTCCTGGCATCTTCCGTCTTGGAGTTGCACCGTTCAAGTACACAATCATATAATCTTCAGCTACCATCAACTCCAAAGTACTTATTACATATCTGATCACAGGAAGGAAGAGGAGTGTTTTCAGTTCCCACATGAAATACTTCATCTTATCTATACCATAATTACATAACATTTAAATGACAGGGTGTATGGCGTTTAAGAATGGCTGTGCATATTACCTCTTCACCTGGAGAAGAATGCAGTTACTGAGATCATTTCTGAGAGTGAGCATTGTTCATTTAAATGTAGTTATCTTTTTTTAAAAAACATGCAGATATACTAAAAAAATATGTGGGTGAGAAAGCTAACTTTCAAAAATGTCAACAATGTTATCATATACGAAGGGCAACTCAGATTAAATAAGGGCAAATCTAAAGTTATCATCAGATGACTAAGAACATTTTATCAGGGAACAAATAAATATAACACTTCACCCAGGGGAAATGTTATACAATTTTAAAGTACAGGCCAAACTGTGTTTGTTTAGTTTTCAATCACTTCTACTGACAAGAGTGATTTTAAAGGTCTTAGTCTCTTGAGCAGTGTTCCTAGACAGAGATTTCACTGACTTTTTATCAAAGGCTTAGAATATTCTACATCATTGATTTCCTTCTATTAAAGGTGATTATCTGCCATACACACTCACAGACATTAACTCAAAGCACTTTGTGGTAAGTATCACTCACAGGAAAAGATTTTCCATGACATAGTGGTAATCCGCCCGACTGCTGTCTGGCAGAAAGCAGGCGGCAAACACAATGATGGCATTTAGGCCGTCCCCATAGTATCCTGGGGACAAACAAAAAGACATTTGTAACCAATTGAAAGCTTTAACAAGATAATATTTAACCTAAAGGGTAAGTCTGGAAGCCTTGGCAAGTGTGTGGATATAACAGATATATCTTTAAGTGAGTACTGTATAGACTGTACTTTTATAAGTATATACACATAGAATTACCTCTCAATGGTTAACATATATGTTATAGAGTCTTAAGTATATAGTGTGACTATATTTGCATATATAGGGTATCCATATATTATGAATGATTATGTATGTTGTATATAGCCAAGAATGGGTGTATTAATATTCATTCTGTCAAAAGATGGGAGCAACACTTTCTGATTTATGGGTTTCTAATTTATATATTGAAAACAGGTAATTTATATAATACTTTTTTCCTTTAATGGCTAAGAAAGAGGTTCTGAGTAATCATTTTTAGCTCTTCTTCATTTTAGCTTGAAGGAAAAATTTAGTCACTGAACTGCACAACCATCTCAGACTCACAGACTTCAGTGGCCAGATGCTAGGGACTAGACAAGTAATACACTTTTGCTTTGATTTAGAAGATTGGTGCACTTGCCTGTAGTGCCCGTCAACTCTCCACGTTCAACAGACTGTGCGGGGAAACATGTTCTGGACAGGGGGTAGGATGACTGGGCACAGAATTCAAAGCCTAGTCTCTAAGAGAAAGGGGCAAACTCAAGAAGGGTTGGTCTGGTTAAAGCCTGCCTCTCTTGGGGTTTTAAGAAACTATATGCTTTGGGAACCACTTGAGAATTACTTCCTAGTAACATGGGTGGGGAAGCGCTGGAAGTGGCATTTGCAGATGGTGGTGAGAAAATAGGTGGGAGATGCAGACGAGTGTGGTCAAAACTCCAAGGGTCAAGGAAAATGCAGAGATACCTCAGGACATGTTACCAACTTTGGAAAGCTCTGCTCCATCCTTTTTTTTTTTTTACATATATCTTTATTGATTTCAGAGAAAGGAAAGAAGAGGGAGAGAGAGAGATAGAAACATCAATGATGAGAGTCATTGATCGGCTGCCCCCGGCACACCCCCGACTGGGGATTGAGCCCGCAACCCAGGCATATGGCCTGACCGGGAATCGAACTGCAATCTCCTGGATCCTAGGTCGATGCTCAACTTCTGAGCCACGCCCGGCCGGGCCTCTGCTCCATCCCTTAATCAAGCTCTGTGTTCCCTTAGAGCTCATCTTTGAAGTCCATGGCAGGGGTTGATCAGATCCCCACGGGTTAGTGTATGGAATCTCACATGGCTTCCCAACTTCAAAATGGAAGCAATGTACTGTATTTTCATGTTTTACATCCCCTTTTAAACACTTGCAGTTTTTTGTCACATAACAGTTCTGGACTTCAGAATCATTAAGCAGATTTCCTCAAAGCTTTGAGTAGGGGGACAGGACACACACTCAGGCCCGATCCAACCCTCTCAGCACTCAGTGTGGTTTGTCCTTTCTGAGTTCTAAATAACCCTCTGGTGATGGCGTGGCAGTAAAATGCTGCCTGGATATAGATTTGGAGGGGCTCAACTCTTGAAAAGCAGTTTAATAAGATGTTCTCTACAAAGAGAGTACGATTCTACCACAAAAGAGGTGGGGTAAGAGAGTGATACCCTCTAAAAATATATCAAATTATGGGTTCCTGTGTATTACTAATTTGAGGTTGTTGTATACAGTGTTTACAGAAGACGCGACCTATGTTAAGTATACATCTGATGCAACACATGTTTGTGAAACAGGATTGCAGTAGCTTCCCTCTGGACATTTTGCCTTAGTTCCATCTTTTCCAGTACATTGATTATTTACCAACTTCTTTTCAGAATGTGATAGGAAGGAAAATGACAGAAAGAGATCTATTTCAATATAAGAAGTATTTGTTCCTCCAAACAACTTTATCTAAGAGGCTTTATAGCTAAATGGAAATCCATAAAGGATCAGGTGAGTTAGCTACACCCCCCTCCCCCATGAAGGCGTGCCATGCAGACTCAGCACATGAACAAGGCGGCTTTGTCTAAAGAGACAGCAGACACAGGGAATCCAACTTAAAAGCACGCGCGAAATCATCCTTTGAAAGCATCTTTCAAAGTGTAGCTGTCTGGCTCTCAAAATAACTTCAAGATCATGAGTGTTCGGTTGCTTTGATTCCTTTTTCTATTTCTGAAGACTTTCTAAGACATTTTTTCAAAAATGAAAGCCTGAGGTTTATAAATAGCATTTCAGACGTAGTCTTACATGCAGTTCCGCCCTGTGTCAGTGCTGTGTGTTCTTGGAATGCTATGTCACGATCCCTGGAGTTCATGTAACCAAACAAACACTTAAGGACCAACCTGCCATCTCCTGACCATTGTCTCAGTCGTTAGATTAAAATGACTGAAATTTACAAACAAAGATGGCTTTTTGTACTTTGGGGCATCTGATCAGTTGGAAGGGAAGAAAAGAGGGAACAAGAAAACGGGGAGAGGAGGAGACGTAAGAACAGAAATGGCAGGAAAAGACCTCCTCGGGAGAGTTTCCTTTCTAAATTAAGAGCTGGTGCCATCATTGTCAGGTTTTGGAGCTACTTCTAGTAGCGACGGCTGACCAAGCACGATCACCAGAATGAGCGGGGACATTCCCTCTTGTCCTCACAGACATCCTCAGGGGGACTGGCTAACCCGATTTCTATTCTAAATAGGCAGCTTGTTCAAGTGAAGTTGCCTGTCAGCAGCTGCACGATGCGTTCGAAGTGTGGATTTGAAAACCGTGTATTTTATTAGACTCTCCTCTCGATAACCATGAGGTGAATTCGGGGCGCGCGTGCTGGGGTGCGTGAGCGATCCCACCGCGGTGCCTCCTGGGCCCCTCTGAAGCAGCGACGCGAGCCTTACCTGCGGCAGGACAGACAGCATGAAAGGGACGTGACACAAGTTTGCTGGCCCACAAATGGAATGGAGAGAGAAGGAAAGATGCCACAGGCGCAACCAAACATACACACCCCCCCCCCAGCCAGCAGCTCTTCTCATTCTTTCCAGGATCTGTCCAGCAACACTGCAGAGAAGGTTACCTGAATCTCCTACAGTGAAAGAAGACAAGTAAAAAAAACAAGAAAGGAAACTCCTCGTTACAATGCTTCGGCATGACTGTCCTTGGTCATTTAAATATGTTCTCTGCTTCAAGTTCCCAAAAAGCCAGACTGCTCAGTGACCCCACGCTGCTGGCTGATCCAAACCACCCAGACCTCTCTTTGCTTTTTTATTTAAGCAGGTGGCAGGAATATTGCTCGTGGGCTCATAGGAAGTCATCCTCTTATGATCGATGAAGTAATTGAGGCCCAGAGGAGTTATGTGATATACCAAGGTCACAGACTAATGCCTGGCAAAGGCGGGTCTTGAACCCTGTTATTCTACATGTGCACAGGGCATCTGACAATAGCTCATATCAAAGTCACCGAAGCAGAAGACTGAGTTATTTGTTCCAGTACTGCTCTCACATACTGATATTCTCAACTGGTATGGACACTTGGTAAGGCCTTATTTTCTCGTTAATTTATGCAACTCTTTTAATCACCCCCACCCCCCATCTTGCAGGTGCACAGAGCACAAACAGCCGGCACTTTTCTATTGGCCTGAGTGGGAAAACTTCCTTATAGCAAATGCAAGACACCAGAACAAGATCCATGTTCACAATGGAGTGCTGCTTTTAAATGCTCATCAGAAGCCCGGATGCCTAACTTAACAGACTGATAACTAAGGAGTATTGCTTTATCATCACTACAGTCTAAGAAAGTGGTGTGAGCTTCCAGCGTAGGAGACAAAGCTTTGGCAAATTCAGAAGTAACATCTGAACAATCTTTACCTACAGAGCACAAAAGCTGTTCAGGGTGTAGGAGGAGGTGGCATCTCACTAGCGTGCTGGACAGGTGCAGCCAGAGGCATGCACATGCAGGCCAGTGCCTGGAGAAAGATGAGGCAGAGCCGGAGACAGGAAAGGTGGCTTTGTCTTCCAGGCAAACCAGACAGTCACACAGACAAAAACCGAGCTCGACAACACAGGACGAAGAGGAGCGAATGCCAAGGGGGGCAGGTGGCAGGGATGGAGGGCGCAGCAAACCGGGTTATCCCCGAGAAGTCAGCTCAGTTGTCACAAAGAACGGGACAGGCAGAAAAGCAGGGGCCTTTGCTGACCCTACCGTGCTGACGACAATCACTCTCTCCTAATTCAGGCATCAGACCCAGCCACCCAAGCCACGTGATTTTACTGTGGTGGACAGAACAAGCAGGTGGGTGTGCTGGAGGGGCAAGAGGTGTTAGGGCAGCGAAGCGGTGAGCCTGTCTTCATTTAAGACCAAGGGGGAAAAGCTTATAGGTATGATCCTTGTTCTGCTTTTTTTTTTTACTTTTTAGAATGAGTACCTTTCATAGTCAGCTTTTGATTTGTTTTTATTTCCAAAAAACAAACAAATCCTACTCCCTTTGCCCCAGAAGGGTGGTGCAAAGGAGGTGTGGCCTTCTGGGAAGATCTGGGTGACATTCAGGTTGAGGTTTTCATCATAACAAAAGGTTGACTCAGTTGTCTGTCACCTTTAGGGCTGTCAGGCCAGCTCTCACTCTGAAGGGCTGCGGGAAAATTTCCCTCAGAGGAAACTGCCCCAGCCCCACAGCAGCTATCATGGGGACATATTGCCATTTCAGGTCACACAGTGAGGCAGGAAAAAGGAAGGTCATGGCCGAGGACACCTATCAGCATTTTCCTTCACTGTCATGGTTGGAGTCCCTAGGTGGTCAGATACTTACCCTACAGGGAGCAAAGCATGGGATGGAAAGTGGAAAATTTGCTGGTGGGGGGAAATTTGATTGAAAAAACAAAATGTCCTTCTGCTAGTTAGAAAACAAAAGCTGTAAGTCTGATGTCGTCCCAAGGAGCTTATTTCCCTGTCCTTGTAGAGGAAGAGAGAAGAATGCTTGCCTTGTCAGTGTACACTTTTCTGGAGCAGCTGAGTGTTAGGGCGGTGCCTCAGGACTGCAGGAAAGGGGTGCATGCAGCAGGAAAATAAACAAGCCCTTTATGCTTTCTGAAGTTGACCATGTAAAATGTGTTGCTTGTGCTCTGACTTTTTGGGAATCCCAAATTAGTCCAGACTGCAGAGCTCCAAGAAAGCACTGGAAATACAAATCACAGCTTTTCTCTCTCCCTTGTCCCTCACTAAGCACCTGGAGGCTTTGGCAGGAGCTGGCTGTGGTCAGTCGTAGGTATAATGAGGTTTATAGAAAAGCCAGTTTCGGGTAGGGGGAAACAATGACAAGGCTGAGTCTAAAAAGGTTTCCTAAAGCTTCTGAAGAGGATTCGAAAGACCATTTTGTAATGAGAAGCAGCGCTACTGTAGTGATCTTACTACAGGCTATGGTGATATAGATCCAAAAACAATTCAGTTAAACCCTACAGCCAACCCAGATGAATTCTGAACAGACATTATTATATTGGACAACTATGGCTTTCAAGAAATTTGCACAGAAGATCGTAGCGATCAGATCTGGGATACGAAAAGCATGTCTCACATTGGAAAGTAATTTTTGTATAGTAAGCTTTCCAATGGTTATGGAATTTAGTATGAAGTAATATATTTAGCTCTACAGTCCCCTAAACGTTGACTGCCCAATAGGGTCTTTGGGATGTCACTCTGCAGAGAACCCTAGTTTCATTTTCTAATGAAAATATATGGTTCCCAGATTCACACAAAGCTTGACTACCTCCATGAGAAATGACTCTCCTGTAGGGCTCGATGACCTTCATGTCAATCCGCTGCTCTTGCTCTCCAATCACCACTGTCCTCCACAGCCGGTTGTCCTCCCTCTCCTCTTCTGCTGTATATTCTGGAATAGACTCGGACTCTTGGCCAGAATCTTTGTTGGCTGTGGGATCCTCTGGAAATGAAGCACAGAGCCAGGCTGAAGGAGCAAGACCTTTACAGTTAAGGCAGTACAGCAAATAGCTGATGGAACTGCCTGTTTTGTATAACTCAGAGCTTAATACCATCCTGACCACATAAGGGACACTCAGTGAAGTCTGACGATTGACTGATTGAACAACCAAATCCTTTGCTAAGTCCAAGCAGAGGGTGAGAACAGATGCAGGGCTAGAGCTGTCCTGTGTCAATAGTGGTCCAAGAGGGTATAGGCTGGTACCAGCTCATACTTGATGATATAGGTTGAAGACTACAGACCTTTCTGATGGGGTAAAAGGCTATTTATCAGGCCCAGATAATCCTGTTTTCCTTGGACCACATTTCCTGGTGTATCGGAATGCTTAGAATCTTAGTATCTTGATGATACCATTGGCCTAGGCACCCCATCTTTAAGACTCTTATAATGGAGCCGAACCTCCTTCCCTACTGAGAGCACATCTGGACATAAATTTGATATACTTCTTATAGATTTTTCAAAATATGCTCCAGCAAGATTTTACAGTAAGCAAGAAAATAACTTCGTAGACCAGGAATGTTTCTAGGCCAAAAATTCTCAAGACTCCTATTTATGGGTGCATAAGGCTATAAAAAGGCCCACTGAGCATCTTGGGGGAGAATTTTACTCCCCACTCTGTGCATCCAGAAGAGGCAATCATGTTAAGGTTTTTAAAGGGTAAGCAGCAATTGTTTCTATTTTTACTTCAAGTACTAGCAGAGTTTAACAATTTGCCTTTGTAGGTTTAGGTAAATTAAAGGAAAAGGATTATTTATAACCTTTGAAATAATTCTGTAAGATATTATCTATCTTATTTTTCCATCAAGGAAATGACCTTTGATTTACTTGTAGCCTTTTTATGGGGCTTTGATAATAACAGCACTACTTTGTGCCAGGCACAGAAGTGGGTATTACGCTAGACATGACACTAATGCAGAAAATAATAGTAATGGTTACTTCAGGTCACAGAAAGCAAACATAGTCAGACCCTTACCTTTTCCCCTCTCTTAGGCTTCCATGTTGTAACCTGAACGCGTGATTGCCTCATTCTGGTTTATTTCACTATGAGGCTGTGAGTTTCTTGGCCTAAGAAATTCTGCCCAAATTACTTTTAATATTCATCTCTACACTTAGCTTGGAAACCTGCACAGAGTACTCAATAAAAATGGGGAGGGTGAGTGGGTAAATCAAGCTTGGACAAATTCCTGGAAATATAGGTAATCTGTGAGGAAGCTACAACAAAGCCATTACATTCTGGAAGATTCCATGAGATACATTCAAACATGTCTAACTACCTGCGACTTAGAATAATAAAATGAAGTCCAGTTGGGAAGCAATCCTAGGTTTTTCTGCCAATACTAACAGCTACCACCACCTACAGAGCCTTGCCTCACTCTGGCTTCCTCTGTGTTCCCACCAACGCTCAGCAGCTTACTAAAGATGGGAAGCAGCAACCTTTGGCTTCAGATCAAACACTCTGTCACTTGTACAAATTCAGCCATCTGCGTATGGGATCCTTTCCTGCTTCTCCCTTCCGACTTGGGTTAGGGCTCTTGGATGCTCATCTTAGCTCCCTTCCTGGGCCCCTGTTTTCCATCTGGTCTCTGTGCCCTCAGAACTCTGGGCTCTGATGTGGGTTTGTCTTTTGATGCTCCTGTACACACAGGCTCTTCCCTGCGATGAACTCGCCATCCACCAAGCCCTCTTCATCCTGCCTGGGACTTTTTGGCCTGCTCTGCATTGGCCCTGATGATCTGTGTGAGGTTCTTCGGTTTTCTGCATGCTTTAATGAGGCTTCTTCCTTAAAAAGTTTTGTACACTGTATTCTTTTCTCTGATTATAAAAGTAAAACACACTCACAAAAGTACAAGCAATACAGAAATTACGCATGAAAACAACAAAAATCTCTGATGCCACTCTCACTCATTGTTTGATATGTACCCTTTCTGTGTACATGAGTGCACACATGCCTGTTCTCCTTCAAGTATGTGATTATTCCAGATATCCTGCATGTTCTCCACACACTGTTCTACACTGTGGTCCTCTTTAATAATATCACATAGGCTTCTTTTTGTCTCAATGTATATAAATTCTGTTTGTTTTAAAAGTAGCCTTAGAGCTCTTCCTGCAAGTGGCCAGAGGTGACGTCACCTTCAATGGCTCACTAGTCACTTGGCCCAGAGAACCCCACGAAATCATGCACATCAGCAGGTTCAGGTCTTCACGTTCACTTTAAGAACACTTGTGAAACTGCCCAGGCCATCAAGCGTATGCATATTCGAAAAGCCACCAAGTATCTGAAGGATGTCCCTTTACAGAAGCAATGTGTGCCATTCCGTCGTTACAACGGTGGAGTCGGTAGGTGTTCCCAGGCCAAGCAGTGGGGCTGGACACAGGGTCAGTGGCCCAAAAAGAGCGCTGAGTTTTTGCTGCACATGCTTAAAAATACAGAGAGTAACGCTGAACTTAAGGGTATAGATGTAGATTTTTTATGTTTTTTGATTATTGTATCATAATAAGAAAGGACACCTCTCCCTTAGGAGTAGGTATATATACACACTAATTTCCCTACAGTTTATTTTTAAAAAACAACAACAGTATTATTAATAATTTTAGTATAAAAGTTTGAGGCTGGACCTTTATATGAAATGTTATTGCTGATGTTCTGGGGGGTGAGAGCTGGCCAGCTGCTGGGGTTCCTCCTCCTTCCCTACCTGAGGGCTGGTGTAAACGGGCAAAAAAAAATTATTTAAGGGCTAGGGAGGGGTACAGTAAATTCTCCTATGGTGCTCACTTTTAGGGTCCACAATATAAGCTAGTAATAAGTAAAGCTAGCTTTATTTACTTCCTTGAATTAACAATATCCTCCTGATCTTAATAATAATAATTCTGTTATAACTATAAATTACTATCCTCCCACTAGCCAGCATTTTTCTCACTATTTTGAAAACTTCCAGGTCTCCCTTAACTCTCTGTCCCTAGGTCCCCCAGATTTAATTTTTGCTATCATGCCGTCTCCACTAAAATATGCTTAATTTTCTTTGTCTCCTTTTCTCAACAACCAATTTTTCTCTCTGGCGACTGTTGAAGTCAACTAAGCCATGGTACACAGGGGAGAAGTCAACTGGAACATTTTCTCCCGTGTTTTGTGAAATGATTTAGTACCCAAGCCCCTGAATGTCCTGTGCTATACAGACCATGGTGAGGAATCCACCATTGGTGTCATTAGGGACTAATGAGAGAGGACGTCAGCGGTGGCCTTTCAGTTGGGGACCTACATCTAGGGAAGGTGACTAGCTGTCTCTATTGAGATCTTGCACTGATCATGTAAATAATCTTAAAAGACATTACATTTAAACTTTTTCTTGTTAGAGGAAAGACGTCCTGTATACAGTCTACAAGTCCTTAAAGTTTTGGGGGGACAAAGGGCAAGCAAGCATAACTTTGAATGTAAAAACTCAGTGTACAACAGTACAAAGAAAAATCATCCTTGTAGACCACACCATTAAGGTGCGAGTGGATAAAATAAAATGACCTTAACACTTGGTTAGTTTATATGCAGAGTTAAAACAGGGAATTGATTCTATAAGCTGGTTGCCTGAGGCTGTGAAAACAGTGGAAGACAGTAGGCAGGGAAGGTAAATGAGGTGGCTTCCTGGTAATCTGGGGGAAATGTTGGGGTCCCTTAATTCACAGAGAAACCGTCATTAGGGCTTAGTTTTAGAAAAGGTAGCTTAAATGAGGTTGCTAAACATGACTTAGGAAGAAAAACTATAGAAGCACATGAACATTTCTTATAACATTCTTATCAGAAATATTCAGGCTAAAATTATTTATCATTTTTCCATTCCCTTACGAAATGCCTTTGCTGAGATCTGAATTATGGTAAAAATAACTTTGCAGTTGGTTTGGAAAACAGAAGTAGGTCATCATCCTTTCTGGCCTTTGGATATATTGAAGTTTCTAAGATTAGTATAATATAGCATTAAAAAGAAAACTCAGATTTTTCTTAATAGAAAGATTGACCTGCTAAAGTCCTTCACTATCTACACATTTCTGATATCTTTGGCACTTGTAAATATCAAAGGAAATCCAACCTCAATTATATCAGTACTTTAAGTGATATTTTCCAACTATTTGGACACAATTATTAAAGAAAATTGCTTGGAAGTAAAGACCAATTTAACATCTTTTGATAGTGAAATTCAAAATTTTTTCATGAGCAAAATCACGTTGTGGAAAAATAACCTGGCAGTAATGTTGGTCATCAGCTACTGTGTAAAACAGGCAATGGCTTGAAAGTCCTTCAAGCACTTGGTAAAGCAAGAGCCCTGAAGTCATGAAAATTGCTGAATAAAAGGGTGAGCAGCCCTGCCAGGCGTGGCTCAGTGGCTGAGCGTCGGCCTAGGACCCAGGAGATCGCAGTTCAATTCCCGGTCAGGGCACATGCCCGGGTTGAGGGCTCGATCCCCAGCCGGGGGTGTGCGGGAGGCAGTTGATCAATGACTCTCTCATCATTGATGTTTCTATCTCTCTCCCTCCCTCTCCCCTCCTCTCTCTGAAATCAATAAAAATATATTAAAAAAAAAAGGGGTGAGTAAATGTGAGGGGGTGCTATCAGGCTTGGCTTCAGGTATGTTAGCCTAATCTAGTAAAAGACTCTCTCCTAGTCACTGTCAGTGTATTTGTGGAGAAGTAGCATGGCCCAGGAGTCAAGGAAAACAACTCAGGGCTTGGGTATTTACTGACACTTACTAGCTTGTGTCCTTAGGTAAATTACTTAACCGCTCTGTGCCTCAGTGTTCTCATCTTAAAATAGGGAAATAAATATCTATTCATAGAGTGGACATGAGAATTGACATAGTTAATATGTATAAAGTACCTAGCACAGATCCTGGCCCATAGTAAGCACCATGAAAGTGTTCATTAAATAGAATAAATTACTGAATAAGCACTTTCAGAACCTGTACCTTAAAAACTCCAACTTTCTTTAGAATGTATACGCTAGTTCAAAATGCTCACACAAGAAGCCCCAAAACACATGCAGCTTTCAAGCATTTATTTCATACTTTGGGACTAAAACATATTTCACCCCTTTTAACACAGTCAGCTATCCATGTCTACATGTTTATAAAATATAGCTATTCAGATATACTTTGTGTTTTCAATGTTGGATGTTTTTGTTTAAAACAGCGTCTAAACATTCATCTTTCATTTTAAAATCAGCGTGGACTTTAACATTCAAGTTCTATTCAAATTCTGTCCTTTGAATTTAAGACCCAAAAGTAGGGTTGTGGCTGTTAAACTGGCTCTTTCAGCATAAGTATCGACTGAAAAGAACTATGTCAGCAAGTGGCAGCCTTAATTACCAGTTTGTTCAGCCACTACCACTTTGCTTGGCAGTTTGACTATTTATAAAAATAAAAGCTTCAGATGCGGTCCGACACAGCTCCCCAAGGCGACAGGAAAGCACAGCGGAGAGAGGGAGGGGCCTGCAGGGTCACGCCACAGCTGGCTTCTGTGGGACTGTAAATCAAGGCAAGCTTCTTACACATGAGCACATCTCGCAGGAAAAGGGCTGGGGCAGCTGGGGTGGGTGGAGTAGCTGGGGAGGAGCCCCTCACAGAAAAGACTATGACTCTAAGACTTTCTTTTGTCTCGTGTTTGTGTATTTCAACCTCCAAGCTCAGACACCCAGACAACTATAGAAATTCGAAAGTATGACAAAAATACAATAGAAAACCCCTACTTAAAACATCATAAACCATAGAACAAGTAGTTTAGCCACTTCCTTTTTTTTTTTTTAGCTTGAGGAGATAAAGCCTTCCTCTCTACAGCCCCTGATGGCTCAACGGCCATTGGTTGAATTAATTCAGTAATTTGATGAATTTCCTAATTATGTTCTGGTATGAATGACAGTGCTGGAATTAACATGGCTCTAAAAGTCATTTAATAATGGTATTTCAATATATATATGTTTTTAGCAAAGTTCTTTTATTTATTTGTTTATTTTTATTGAATTTATATAAACTAACAAACAAAGTAGAGACAGACTGATGGCTGTCAGAGGGGAGGGGTGGGGGGCTGGGGGAAAAAGGTGAAGGGATTAAGCAAAAACAGCAACAACACCTTATAGAGGGACAACAGTGCGGTGATTACCAGAGGGAAAGGGGAGCAGCGGGGTGAGGAGGGCAGGAGAGGGTAAGGGGAGGCTAAGTAGTGATGGAAGGAGACTTGGCCTGGGGTGGTGAACCCACAATACAATAATAATATTTCTTTTTAAGCGATTTTAAGAAAATTTTTTCTTTAAGAAAAATTAAGAAAACTTTTATTTTTAAGAAGAATTTTTATAATATATCAAGGCACCAGCAGTGGCCAGTATTCTCTTACTTTCACATTCAATATGATAAAGTCAGAGAGTGCTATCCTGTAAAACAGAACAAACACGGTGCCATTTTTAAAAGCAAGTGCTTTGCATTTGTACGTATTTCCTTTCTTTATTTTAAGAATTTCAAGATTTATTTTTTTAACTGATTTTATTGGGGTGACATTGGTTAATAAAATTATACAGGTTTCAGGGGTGCAATTCTATAATACGTCATCTGTACATTGCATTGTGTGTTTACCACCCCAAATCAAGTCTCCTTCCAACATCATTTATCCCCATTTTACTCTCTTCTACCCTCCCCCTACCCTACCCTTACTGTTGTCTATGAGTTTGTTTGTTTCTCTGTGTTTTGGGTTTTTTTGCTTAATCCCTTCAACATTTTCACCCAGCCTTCCAACCCCTCTCCCCTCTGACAGCCATCAGTCTGTTCTCTGTACCTATGAGTCTGTTTCTATCTTGTTTGTTAGTTTATTTTGTTCATTAGATTCCATAACAAACCCTATTACATTAAACCAGAGAAAGAACTAAAATGAGATTGATGTTCACATTAGGAGTGTCTGTGTTCGATCCAGCAACTTTTTATTTCTCCCTTTTTATTCTTCTCTGAGATGGTGACACCTGATTAAGAACTGAATAAATAGAAGGAAACAGCCACATAAGAATCTGGGAGAAAGAACATTTCAGACAGTAGAGCTTGTACAAAGAAATTGGTAAGCTTTGATTTCTCTGCTTCAAACTATATCTTCCAGATTAAATTCTTTTTCTCTGCAAACCCAGCCCCAATTTTTTTTTTTATGACACAGCATGTGACAACCTTCCCTCAACCTCAGTGCCTAGCACAGGGTCTGGAATGGAGTAGGGGTTTAACAAAAGAGCAATGGCTACATGTGACCTTTGTCAAGCTCTAAACTGTCAATCACACCCCTGGACGGCTTGGCTCAGCGGTTAGAGCGTCAGCCCGTGGACTGAAGGGTCCCAGGTTCGATTTCGGCCAAGGGCACATACCATGGTTGCAGGCTTGATCCCCGGCCCCAGTTGGGGCTCCTGAGGGAGGCAACCAGTCGATGTGTCTGTCTGTCTCTCTCTCCCTTCCACTCTCTCTGAAAAGCAATGGAAAAAATATCCTCGGGTGAGGATTAAAAAGTAATAATAAAATAAACTGTCAATCACAGCCACCTATGAGTTAGAAGCTTCTAGAAATCACAGAAAAGAGCCACCAGCAACAAAATGAGAGGTTTGTCATTAATGCCACTTAGATAATCTTTCACTTTCCACATAACTTTGGCCTTGCCAAGTTGGCAACTTACCATGCCCAGCGTACTCAAAAGAATCAGCTTCATCGGGGGTATCGAGTTCATCCACGTTGATATCGATTTCATCCGGACTGTCCAGGTTATCATCAGAGAGAACAGACCCTTCACTTTGGTCCAGAGAAAGATTGATATTTGGGGCTGTGAGCTTGATTCTCTGAGGATGAGTGTCATTAAGGTCCAGAGAATTAGGAGGTTCTAAAGAAGAAACAGAATAGCAACATCAGGTATTAGACCATACGCATGGCTGCCAACAGTGGGCATGGGTCCCAGTGGAAAAACATATTTATTTATTTAAATTATATATTTTTAAAATTTGTTTATTGATTTCAGAGAGAAGAAGGGAGAGATAGAAACATCAATGATGAGAGAGAGTCATTGATCGGCTGCCTCTTGCATGTTCCCTACTGGGGATGGAGCCCGAAACCGGGCGTGTGCCTTGATCAAGAATCAAACCACCATCTCCTGGATCACAGGCCAATGCTCAACCTCTGAGCCATGCGGGCCACGCTGGAAAAATGTTTTTAAAGCCCTTTCAGCAAAAACAGACTTGCTAAAAAAAAAATCCTTATATAGGATTTGGACCCCCCTTCCTGACCAGCATGCCTCAGGGCTGCTTTGTCACAGCTCCATCAGCCCTGGCCATGTAGAAATACGAAGTGGGAACCTTTGCTAAAAGGGCAGAAAACTAGTTTTTAGAATTTCCCTGTTCAGATTTGAGAACTTGAAACTGATATTGAATTTTTTATGGTACATATTGTATAAGAAAGTTCAGCTTACATGTCTGATACTGGCTCATACAGACTCTATTCCTATGGAATGGAGGGTAAGAACTTTATCTGCTGTGTTCACAGATATTTCTCAAATACTTCAGCTTCTGACAACTCTGTGTATGATGTGCAGTGACCTTTCTTTAGCTGGCATTCTTGCTTTCTTGCTTTCTTTTTAGTAAAACTGAGGTATCCTCCCAGATTATATATATATATATTTATTAAGCAATCATTACCTCTCATGCCAATACTGTTTGTGATCGGTTCCCATACCTTAAGTGAGAGTCTTATGTTAAGGGTCATGGAAGTAGCTCCCACACTTTAATTGTAATGTGTATCTTGCCACTAATGTGCCATTCACTTAACAGAAGAGGAGCTGAAGAAGTAATTCTTAACCAAGTTGATCCCAACTAAACACTTCTAAAAAGAGAAATTTCAAGATTCTCTATCATAAAGTATTTTGAAGGCCATCTGGTATACCTCTCAATTCTGGAATTCAAATCTGGTCTTGACCTAAAGAAGTTAACACTGTTTCTTTGCCATTAAGATGTTCTGTATAGAACATCACCCAAACTATGTTCCATGTAATGTTTTTATGTATTAGTTTAAAAAAGTTTCTGGTGACCAATAAGTTTGAAAAACAATGGATTCTCAGAGTGGTACTATCCAGAAGAAATTTTTGTAATAATAGAAATGTTAAGGAATTGAAATAAAGATAGTGCAACTGAAGAACTGAACTTTTCAAATTTATTTTAAACTTTACTTAATTTAAATAGCAACATGTGGCTAATTACTAGCATAAAGGATAACTATAACTTTAGTGACTTTATTATTCTAAAGTGCATTAGGAACCTGAAAGAGCGGAGTAGACATACAGTGGCTACCATGCTTACTTGGCCATAGGACACTTAAAAATAATTATCTCATGATGTCAGAGGGGTGGGGGTTGGGGGACAGGAAGAGATTAACCAAAGAACATATGTGCATCTATGCATAGCCCATGGACACAGACTATAGTATGGTGAAGGCCTGGGGTAGGGTGGGGGCTGGATGGAGGGGAGTAAAGGGAGGGGAATGGGGGACATCTGTAATACTGTCAACAATAAAAAATAATAAATTAAAAAAATAATTATGTCACAGGACTAGTATTTTGAAGAATTTACTTAAATACTTAGGAAAAAAAGAAAGAAATTGACTCCCTTCTTCCTACTCCATTTTAGGCATGGCTGATAAGGTCAGGATTCAGGATCTTGGTATGAACCTGAAGCTGGTACAGTGCAAATAAGTGTCCTTAGTACAGTGTTGAAGTCATGTAGACCGCAAAAGAAAATTTATAGTTCCTTTTTGAATATGCCTTGGGTTGTAAACCTTTAGAGTATAGGGTTTCTTTCCTGCTTGCTTTTTAATAATCAGATTACTGAGCCTTGACATCACATTTCTAATTTTAAACATTCTCACACAAGTATAAATTTGGTGAACTGAGATGTTAGTTAGAATTTGTTATGATGATATACAGTAGCCAGTTATCACAGGAAGTGAGAGCATTGACAGATAAGGCCATGACCCAGAATATAAAAGGTGGCCCGCACTAGTGAGCATCGACATTCAAGTCAGCTCTGAAATGAACCAAATTGAGCCTAACACCCTCTTCACACATATTTTTCCCCCTCTCTTCACAAGTTAGAAGCATAGGAAACGGTTCTCTCACTGAATAATGAAAATGTTTGAATATAGAATACCACTGAAGGAAATAAACAAATGCTCCTCTCACCAGGCCTCATGTCTGCAGCACTGGGGCTCAGCATTCCCTCCTTAAAGGGGATGTCCATTCCTACATCCTCTGACAGCGGTCTGAAAGAGAGCAAAGCAAAGAGTGTTCAAAGTTGTGTGGGGTTTAATTTTCTTTGAAAGGGAAACCCAGAGATTCCAGGATAACATTTTTAATTCACTTGGAATAAACCAAATACCATGGACACCAGTGTGACCCTGTGCATAAAGCATGTCACTCCTCCTGCCAGCTCACATAAGTAAACACACCCCAAGTAAAAAACTCAGACAGGAAAAGCAAATTATTAATAAAAGATACTTAAGAGGGTATCTAATATATATTTTTCAACAAGAAAGCAATATGTGTGCTTTGCAGTGAAGATAGACCTGATTTTATACAGTTCTCTTCGTCTGTGTAAATTTGAGCATATTCCTTAGACAACTGTGGGCAGAGAAAAATATATTCTGCTGGCCTCACTTTCTTTATTTGTAAAATAAGATATACCACCTACCTCACTGAGCTGTTGAAAGATTAAGCAATGATGTAAAGTGCCTAAAATTCCTAAGAGGGCACCAACTAATGTCATTTTCCTTAATTCTTTAAAATTTAAAAATTCATTGTGGTTTATGTACTGGTGAAGATGGTACTAGTCACGAGTTACCATCTCTTCTCTCTAATCAATGCTGAGCCCGGGACCATTTATATTAGCCCACTTGGTAAGTAAGACAAGTGTAGGGGAACAGGGAAATACTGAGAAAAATTGTTACAAATTTATATGCTCTTGTAGGAAACTGACCACACTGTTTACAGTCGATTGCCCTTGACTTATTTTCATTTCCCATCCCTCATTCAGTGAATTCCCATTTATCATGTAATATAATTGCCCTCTTTGTGGCTTCCACATAATTTCATTCATCTAGAGTGAATCCTTGTGATATAGGCACTAATCTAAATTTAAACACGATAAATCTTAGTATCAAAGTTCTAAATGTAGTCCCTCCCTTTACCTTTATTGAGACTTCTCTCCACTGCAGTCTGAGTCCACCAAACATTTGGAGTTTACTTATGTAGATGATCGAGCTCTCCAGGATCTAATTCAAAACCCTTATTGTCAATAACACTATGATGAAAACAAAATCCTACATCTCTAATGATAACTGCACTTCTTCATTTATTCAACAAATACGTATTACGCGTCTGCTACGTGCTGAGGATATAGAGGAACAAAAGAGACCAGCCTCATTCTTGTGGTGGAGATGCGACAATGGGGTTTAAATAACGGTGACTATCACTAATAACTTAATGCTGTTTCCCAGCCCAAAGTAAAATGCCCATATCCATACTCATCAACCCCCAGACCCCTTCAAAAACATAACCTCAGGGAGTGTCTTTCCCAGTACATTTGCTGTGGCTTCTACTCTGTATGTTCTCCAAAATGAATCCTGCACCCTAACACAAAGATAGGGAGCAAGAGATTGGTGTGTGAGTCAAAGGCAACAACGCATTGGCAGGAATAAGACAATCTGTGCCAGACACAGACACACCACACGGAGCAGCAGCAAACCAAACTGTTGGTAGAGGGGGAGTGCACTAGGCCCTAGTTCTGAAAGCCCTGGGACCCACAGGGATATACTTAAAAAAAAAAAAAAAGTAAATGGTTTGCATTTCTCCTTCCCAACCAGAGGGTAAATAGCTTAAATCACACTGAGAGATTGATAACAGAAATCCAATTAGTGCCATTTGCCAATCACACCCAAGGACAGAAAAATTAAGAATAAACCTCATTTTGGTATGTCAGCATAAAGTTGATGAATATTCCATTGATCCATCCCTAAGGACTCCCCAAGAGGCCCAGCCTTTAAAACCCCTGAAAATGAAGGCCCCAGCGCTCGCTCTTCCCGCCCGCCCCCCAGGGGAGACTCCCGCGCTGTCTCCTTCCCCTCTCCGAGCGGACCCCATGAGGCTTGCAACCAGGGGAGCAATGGGCATCTTGTCCTGGGCTTACCCCTGAACCTGTCTCCAAGGTTCTTTTCCCTCTCTGACTTCTCAGTGAACCAAAGCAGCCCAGCCTAGACGCTCCTGTTCTTCTGTGCCCTTCCTCATTTCACCGTCCTAAGTATATCTTTGCTTCGATCAATAAATTCTTGCTTGCTTTTCTACACTTTGTCTCTTGATTGAAATCTTTTGCTCAGCAAGACAAGAACCGAGATCTCATCGTCTCCCAGGTAACATTTCCACTGTTAGTAATGATAAGCTGATTGACTCTCTAAGAAAATTAGCTATCTTTATGATTTAATGTAAATAAATAAATTAATTAAATTATTAAAAAACACACACAAGTGATTTACAGATCTCTTTCTTTAATCCATCTTTATGACTTTAAATGGTGATAATAAATACCTAACATCACAGTGACTGGAGAATATAATACATATAAAAGTACTCTGTAAATTATAAAGCATTGAGTAAGTTTAAGGTATTACTTCCTTCTATTTTTAACATAATAGCTGGATCAGTGATTTAACTGAAGTACATGTCATCATTGTACAAAACATAATTAAGGTTGCTGTAGTTTGGGTATTAACCCAGGTAAGGGAAAATTTCAGTACGGTACCAATCCCCACAGAGCTTGTAAGTGCCACTGGACATTAGTGAATAGAGCCTTTGTCTCTCAATACTCCTTTTCAACAGAGCAGAAACCCTGTCAAGAAGGTGCTATAAAGCCAGAGGTGATCAGGGGGTGATCAGAAGAGAGGCACTCTCACAGACTCATGGATATTGCAGAAGGGTGGGGACATTTTTAGGAAACCCCAGGGACAGAGAAGGAAGGCTGAACCCAAGTTGCACTGATTGTAAATACTCCAACCACATTCAAACATCAGGTCCATAAATATTTGTAGAAATGAAGCGCTCGAACAGAGCACTTGGTGATTGAACAGGATGGAATTTTACAATTGGTAATGGAAGCCTCTCGGGATCTGTTAGGTAACAAATCAGTCCAGTGTGAAGGGACGTATTTCCTTATCAAGCCACAGCAGCTACTTAATTTGGGGTTTTCTGTGTAGAGAATGGAGCCAGCTACCAGAGGCTGAGGGAGTTGTAAACACCCCAGTCTGACTCTACTCGGGCCAAACTCCCAAAGAGATGCTCAGCTCCACGTCTCCACCTAGAGGTCGGGTCCAGAACCATTGTTTACTGAATGGGTTATAACCGTTAGAAACCAAGTATTTCATCAACTATTTCTGGGTCTCGGCCTTTGGGGTACAGGGTAAAATTGTACTGTCCTGCTCTCTTGTGAAATTGAGGTCACCACATGACTTGCTTTGACAAATGAAATGAGAGTGGGAGTGGCAGGTATCACTCCTCCTCCGAAGAATTAGGAGCAAGTGCCTTGGATCTGAAGCCCCAACCAAAGTTCGTTGATATGTAAACAAGAAAGGAGTTTTTGTTGTGTTTTTCCCTGAGATGTTGAATTTCTTGTTACCACATCTTAATCTAGCCCATTCTGACTAGTACAGCTGGTCTTTATTGCTTGTTTTGAAGGGACTATCTGACTCATACTGTTATCCTATATCTGGATAACCCATTTCCCACAGTCTCAACCCAGGTTTAGGGTCATGGTGCACAGCTTCTCGACTGCATTGTTAAAGCACTAAAGACATTTTAAAAAGTGAGGACAAAAACTAGGAAGGGCATCAAGTGCTCTTAGTTATTCCATAAACATGAGTATTAATATATCAGCTTTATGGTTTTTTCATAGCCATCTAGCACTTACACATTTGCTTAATACTTTTTCTTTAAGTTGATTTATTTTAGTTAATTAGGATTATTTTGAAAGGAATGTTTATATCACTCGTGTTTATGGAAATTAGAATCACTCACCTAAAAAATAATCATATAAATTAAATATAATAAAAATAAAATAATGCTATTAAATTCAATGTAGAACACCCTGGGATCTCATTCTGAGACTTTCTCTCTTTGCTAAAAAGTGTCTGTCAGGGTATAATACCATTTACCATCATAAATACAAAGAAATTCTGTATAAGATAGAATGCCCAAAAAGTATTTAATACATTTCCAAATTTGAAAAAAACAAAACAAAACAAAAAACACACACAAGAGAAATACCCAGATGCCAGAAATAAAGAGTTATTCTAAAAAGCTCATGAGAAGGTAGCCCACGGGTCTTTGGACTGGACATAGGCCTCAGGACCCCAAAGCAGAAGCGATCTCCAGGTATGAGAAGAAAAGCTTAGACCTGAACTTTCTAAATGAGGCCTTGAACCTTAAAGAACTGCCTCCATAATGAAAAGGGGGGAGAACAAACTCTATCCTTTGGCCTTGGAAAGCACAGTCCACCTGAAATCTTGGGTGGAAAATAAAAACAACCCATGAGAATCAGACACTAACGGTGTATCAAGCATGTCTCAATTTATATTACCTGAATGGCGCAGGAAACCCAAGTCAAGAAATTAAAATTAAAACTCATCTAGGACCACTGAAGACCTAGACTCAGCCCTAGGGTTCCAGAAGAATCAAATGATGACCACTTGGTAGTGCTACTTTTACAATCTAGAATTCACTGAAAATCTACTTAGAAGAAAGAAAAAACCCTCAGAAAAATAAGCTCCTACCAAAATACACCCCCCCTTCAAAACCATAAACTGCACTAGAAAAGAAACACTATGAGAGATTGCCAGCAGATGCAGTAAACAGAAGAATTAACAATAAAAGTCTTACAAAAACAATATGAAAGAGATTGTAATGATTAAAGAGTAATTTTTAAACCTTCGTTGTGATAAGCAGTGAGATTTGGGGTGTTTGTCCTAGTAGGTAGTATTACCCTGAAGAGTCACGCTGCTTAAAGAAGGGATATCTGAGCATAATGATGCAGAAGCATTGACCATAAAGTGAAATAAAAAGATAAATCAGAAATACTAACCACAGGAAAGCAAGAATCAACAACATTAACATCAAATAAAAGAATGCATTTTAATGATAAGAAAGTTATTATTTTATGATAAAAAGACTAATTGAGAAGATGTAGTAATCCAGAGCTAATATGCTTTTAACAACATAG